TCCTGGCTAACACACTGAAGCCCTGTATCTACTAAAAATACAAACAAATAGCTGAGCCTTTGAAGATGATGTGGGTGGAACAACAACAACAAAAAATAGCCAGGTGCGGTGGCACACGCCTGTAGTCCCAGCAGGGCTTGAGGCAGGAGAATCACTTGAACCTAGGAGGTGGAAGTTGCAGTTAGCCAAGCAAGCGCTACTGCACTCCGGCCTGGGTAACAGAATAAGACTCCATCTCAAATAAAAACCAAAAAAAAAACAGGCTGGCGTTACGGCTTATGCCTGTAATCCCAGCATTTTGGGAGGCCGAACTGGGTGGATCACCTGAGATCAAGAGTTGAGACCAGCCTGACCAACATGGAGAAGTCCCATCTCTACTAAAAATACAAAATTAGCTGGGCGTGGTGGCGCATACCTGTAATCCCAGCTACTCAAGAGGCTGAGGCAGAAGAATTGCCTGAACCCAGGAGATGGAGGTTATGATGAGCCAAGATCATGCCATTGTACTCCAGCCTGGGCAACAAGACCAAAACTCCATCTCAAAAAAAAAAAAAAAAAAAAAAAAAAAAAACAAAGGTCCTGGCACAGTGGCTCATGCCTATAATCCCAGCACTTTGGGAGGCTGAGGTGGGCAGATCACCTGAGGTCAGGAGTTCATGACCAACCTCGGCCAACATTGTAAAATCCCATCTCTACTAAAAATACAAAAATTAGGCAGCAGTGGTGGCGCATTCCCGTAATCCCAGCTACTGGGGAGGCTGAAGAGGGAGAATTCCTTAAACCCAGGGGAGGCTGGCACAGTGGCTCACTGCTGTAATCCCAGCACTTTGGGAGCCCGGGGCGGGTGGATCACCTTAGGTCAGGAGTCCGAGACCAGCATGGTGAAACCCCATCTCTATTTAATACAAAAAATTAGCTGAGCATGGTGGCACATGCCTGTAATCCCAGCTACTTGGGAGGCTCAGGCAGGAAAATCACTTGAACTCAGGAGGCAGAGGTTGCAGCGAGTTGAGATCATGTCATGGCACTGGGTGACAGAATGAGACTTAGTCTCAAAAAAAAAAAAAAAAAAAAAGGAACAAACTTTTCTGGGCACAGTGGCTCACACCTGTAATCCCAGCACTTTGGGAGGCTGAGGTGGGCAGATCATGAGGCAAGGGTTGAAAACCAGCCTGGCGAACATAGTGAAATCCCATCTCTACTAAAAATACAAAAAATTAGCCAGGGGTGGTGGTGGATGCCTGTAATCTTAGTTACTCGGGAGACTGAGGCAGGACAATCGCTTGAACCTGGGAGGCGGAGGCTGCAACGAGCCGAGGTCATGCCACTGCATACCAGCTCGGGCAACAATGCAAAACTCTGTCTCAAAAAAACCCGAAACAAACTTGGACCAAGATGGCAGTATGAGAATGGATTATTCTTTCCAACATTTTTGTTATATTGTATACTGAAACAGCAAAAATCTCTTAGTTCTATACATGCTCCCTAAATAATCTAACACAGAAAATGGCACCAGTTGTTATGAAAAGTATACTCACCTGTTTTCCATCCACCTCGATATCTGCCACATAGTTCTCAAACACTGTGGGAACATACACCTCCGGGAACTGGTCCTTGCTGAAGACTATGAGCAAGCATGTTTTTCCACAGGCTCCATCACCAACAATCACCAGTTTCTTCCGAATGGCAGCCATGGCTGAAACACAAACCACAGGATTATCTGTAATACACAAGAAGCCATAGGTAGCCTCAGGCTATGACACATGATTTTTTTTAACCATGGGGGATAAGCCTCTAATAGCATACTCAAATTCAAAATTCTAGTACACTGATCCACCTGACACCAAAACGTTATACAACTAAACCTCATAACATTCTATACTTAATGGTAAAAGACTGAAAACAAGGTCTGCTCCCTAAGATCAGGAACAAGACAACAAGGATGTCTGTTCTTGCCACTCCTTTTTTTTTAAAATCGAGTCTCACTTTGTCGCCCAGGCTGGAATGCACCGGTGCGATCTTGGCTCACTGCAACCTTGGTGTCCTGGGTTGTGCCTCAGCCTCTCAAGTAGCTGGGACTACAGGTACACGCCACCACACCCGGCTAATTTTTTTATTTTTAGTAGAGACAGAGTTTCACCATATTGCCCAGGCTGGTCTCAAACTCCTGAAGGCATGATCTGCCCACCTAGGCCTCCCAAACTGCTGGGACTATAGGCGTGTGAGCCACCGCGCCTGGCCTGTTCTTGTCACTTCTACCCATCAAGACACTGAAAGTCCTAGTCAGGGCAATAAGTAAATGTAATAAAAGACACCCAAATTGGAAAGGAAGAAGTAAAACTATCTCAATTCATATATGAGATGATCTTACAATGTGGGAAATCCTAAAGAATCATTAAAATACTTTTACAATAGGCTGGGTACAGTGGTTCACGCGTGCAATTCCAGCACTTTGGCAGGCTGACGCGGGAGTTTGAGACCACCCTGACCAACATGGAGAAACCCAGTCTCTACCAAAAATACAAAATTAGCCAAGGGTGTTGGCAAATGCCTGTAATCCCATCTACTCGGGAGGCTGAGGCAGGAGAACTGCTTTATCCCGGGAGGCAGCGGTTACGCTGAGCTGAGACCACACCATTTCACCCCAGCCTGAACAACAGGAGCAAAATTTCATCTCGGAAAAAAAAGAAAAAAACATTTTAGAATAAACAAGTTCAGTCAGGTTACAGAATACGGCATTAACATTAAAAAATCAATTCGGCCGGGCGCGGTGGCTCAAGCCTGTAATCCCAGCACTTTGGGAGGCCGAGGCGGATGGATCACGAGGTCAAGAGATCGAGACCATCCTGGTCAACATGGTGAAACCCCGTCTCTACTAAAAAAAAACTACAAAAAATTAGCTGAGCATGGTGGCACGTGCCTGTAATCCCAGCTACTCAAGAGGCTGAGGCAGGAGAATTGCCTGAACCCAGGAGGCGGAGGTTGCGGTGAGCCGAGATCGCGCCATTGCACTCCAGCCTGGGTAACAAGAGCGAAACTCCGTCTCAAAAAAAAAAAAAAATAAAATAAATAAATAAATAAATAAATAAATAATCAATTCAATTGAGGCCGGCACAGTGGTTCTTATCTGTAATTTCAACACTTTGGGGGGGCTGAAGCAGGAGGGTTACTCAGGCCCAGGAGTTAGAGACCAGCCCTGGCAACACAGTCAGATACTGAGAAAGGAAGGACGGACGGAAGCCTGAGAGGGGAGGGAAGAAAGAAAAGGGCCAGGCGCAGTGGCTCACGCCTATAATTCTAGCAATCTGGGAGGCTGAGACAGGCAGACTGCTTCAGAGTCCAGGAGTTCAAGACTAACCTGGGCCAATACAGTGAAATCTTGTATCTACTAAAAATACAAAAAAAAAATTAGCCAGGTGCAGTGGTACACGCTAATCACAGCTACTTGGGAGGCTCAGGTGGGAGAATCACCTGCGCCTACGAGGTTGAGGCTGCAGTGAGCTGAGATTGCACCAATGCACTCTGGTTCTGGGGAACCAGAATGAGATGTTGTCTTTAAAAAAAGAAAGAAAATAAAATCAGCTAGGTGTGATAGCATGCACCTGTGGTCCCAGGTACCAAGGAGGCTGAGGTGGGACGACTGCTTGAGCCAAGGATGTAGAGGATGCAGTAAGCCATGACTGTACCACTGCACTCCAGTCTGGGTGACAGAGTGGAACACCGTGTCTCAAACAAACTCTTAGGACTCAACTACAAAAAAGTAAGTAGCTTAGCCTGGTGATCTGGCTCAGGATCTCTTGCAAGGTTTAAGTCATAAAGAACTCTTTTTGGGCTGGGCACAGCAACTCACACCTGTAATCCCAGCACTTTGGGAGGCTGAGGCAAACAGAACACTTGAGGTCAGGATTTCAAGACCAGCCTGGCCAACATGGCAAAGCCTCATTTCTAAAAAAAAAAAAAATACATAATAAATTAGCCGAATGTGGTGGTGGGCACCTGTAATCCCAGTTACTTGGAAGGCTGAGGCAGGAGAAATCGCTTGAACTTGGGAGGCCAAGGCAGGTGGACCCCAAGGTCAAGAGATCGAGACTATCCTGCCCAACATGGTGAAATTCCTTTTCTACTAAAAATACAAAAATTAGTTTGACCTGGTGGCGTATACCTGTAGTCCCAGCTACTTGGGAGGCTGAGATAGGAGAATTGCTTGAACTCAGAAGGCAGAGGTTGCAGTGAGCTAAGATCGTGCCACTGTATTCCAGCCTAGGTGACAGAGTGAGACTCCATCTCAAAAAAAAAAAAAAAATTAGCCAGACATAGTGGCGTGCGCCTATAGTCCTAGCTACTCAGGAGGCTGAGGCAGGAGAATTGCTTGAACCTGGGATGTGGAGGCTGCAGTGAAGCGAAATAATGGCACTGCACTCTATCCTGGATGACAGAGGAAAAAAAAAAAGAGCAAAGGATGTGAGTAGGTATGATACAGCAATCCTATTCCTAGGTATACATCTAAGAGAAACAAAAAATATGTCCACATGGCCGGGCGCGGGTGGCTCAAGTCTGTAATCCCAGCACTTTGGGAGGCCGAGGCGGGTGGATCACGAGGTCAAGCGATCGAGACCATCCTGGTCAACGTGGTGAAACCCCGTCTCCACTAAAAATACAAAAAAATTAGCTGGGCATGGTGGTGCGTGCCTGTAATCCCAGCTACTCAGGAGGCTGAGGCAGGAGAATTGTCTGAACCCAGGAGGCGGAGGTTGCGGTGAGCCGAGATCGCGCCATTGCACTCCAGCCTGGGTAACATGAGTGAAACTCCGTCTCAAAAAAAAAAAAAAAAATGTGTCCACATAACAACTTGTACCTCTACATAAATATTCATAGCAGGATTATTCATAATAGTCAAAAAATGTAAAGAACCCAAATATCCAACAACTGATGAATACAGTATATCCATACAATGGAATGGAATATTATTCAGCAATAAAGGATAAAGTATTGATATATGATATACTATTAATCTTGAAAATGTTATGTAAGTAAAAGAACAGAGTCACAAAAACCAACATGCATGATTCCACTTATATAAAATTGTCCAGAATACACAAATCCAGAGAGAGAAAACAGACTGATAGTTGCCTAGGGCAGGGACTTGATGGGTGGTGATAAATGAAAAATGACTAATGAAATAATGGAGTTTCTTCCTCAGGTAACAACATTTTTCCAAAAGTATTGTGGTGATGGCTGCACAACTCTATGAACATACTATAAACTATTGATTACAGTACATATAATTCACATTTTATTTATTTTAAGACAGGTTCTCACCCTGTTGCTCAGGCTGGAGTAGAGTGGTATGATCTCCACTCACTGCAACCTCAGCCTCCCCAGGCTCAAGTGATCCTCTCATGGTAGTCTACGAGTAGCTGGGACTACAGGTGCATGCCACCATACCCGGCTAACTTTTTGTATTTTCAGTAGTGACAGGATTTCGCCACGTTGCGCTGGCTGATCTCGAACTCCTAAGGTCAAGCAATCCACCTGCCTCTGCCTTTCTCCCAAAGTGCTGGGATTACACGGGTGAGCTACCGCACCCAGCCCACAGTATATATAATTCACAATTTAAATAGGTTAATTCTAAGGTACGTAGATTATATTTCAATAAAGCTGTTACCACCCCTCTCGTACCCAGTGGGGAAAAAAAATCAGAAATCTACAGATTGTTTCTATCTGGCAGACAGTGATGGTCAACCAACACAATTTTCATCCTTCTCTCTTAAACTATACTTCAATTTTTAGCTATGTACTTTGTTGTGGACTACACTCCCTAGCTTCCCTTGCAGACATGGCCATGTACCATAAGATGTGAAGGAGCAGTATGTTGTGGGACTTCCAGGAAGTCTTTCTTAAAGTGAAGTCACGTGCCCTTCTTCATTCTCTTCCTCCTTTCCTGCTGCTTAAACCTGAAGTAAGGGCTTTTTTTTTTTTTTCTTTTCCTTCTGAGACGGAGTCTTGCTCTGTCACCCAGGCTGGAGTGCAGTGGAGCGATCTCAGTTCGCTGAAGCCTCCGCCTCCCGGGTTCAAGCAATTCTCCTTTCTCAGCCTAAGTAGCTGGGACTACAGGAACATGCCACCGCACCCAGCTAATTTTTGCATTTATAGTAGAGACGGGGTTTCACCACGTTGGCCAGAATGGTCTTGACCTCCTGACCTTGTGATCCACCCACCTCAGCCTCCCAAAGTGCTACGATTACAGGTGTGAGCCACTGCACCCAGCTGTAAGGGCTGGTTTCTAAGTAGCCATCCTGGTACGTGAGAATGAATGCAATACCATGAGGCTGGAGGAAACAAAAGGTAAAAAGGACCCTGGATCACAGGTGATCTTGGGAGCCACCATCTCAGCCCCAAGACTGCCTACCTTCCACAATTCTTCCATATAAATAAGAAATAAATGACCACCTTGTTTAAGGTGGTATTTTTCAAGTCTCTGTTTCCAACAGACAAACTAATCCTAAAGAATATATACTCATTATCAAAACTGTGTCGTCTAAAGCATATGTTCCTGAACAAGAATGGATAAGACAATGCACTGAGGTACCAACTCAGAGGGCTAACAACAACAAAAAGGACAAAAATAAAAAATAAAAAATAAAAAAACCTCAAGAGGGCTGACGGTACTGCCCTCCTGAATTCATTTGTGAATTCTCAGCAGAGTATTACACAAGGCAGTGAATATGTACCTGAGCTAATTATATATGTATAAAGATTACAGAATTTTGTCCAAATCCATAAAATGATCTTAATTAATGATTTAACAATTTTTTTTTTTTTTTTTTTGCAAAATGGCAGTGGATTGAAGGTACTGCTAATCATGAAAGCACAATAAGAAGCATACAGATGATAGGGAAATGTGCTCAATACAAATCTTTAAACTAGAGCATGCAGTAAAGTCTGGGTGCGGTGGCTCATGCCTGTAATCCCAGCACTCTGGGAAGCAGAGATGGAAGGAACACCTGAGGTCAGAAGTTCAAGACCAGCCTGGCCAACATGGCAAAATCCTGTCTCTACTGAAAATACAAATATTAGCTGGGCATGGTGGCACATGCCTATAATCCCAGCTACTTGGGAGGCTGAAGCACAAGCATCACTTGAACCTGGGAGATGGAGGTTGCAGATATTCAATGAAGAACATTTGGCCCAGAAAAATTGTAAAATCATTTAGCCACTAAGGGTGACAAAGACAAAAATTACAAGTGATTATGGGACAAAATGAAAGCCTAGGTGATTTCTGGGATGCTGGGAGTCTGGCAATACAAACATGGATGTTGAGAAGAAGTAAAAAGTCCAAGCACAAAAAAATCAAACTTGCCTTTTTTTCCTGAAAAAAAAAAACACAGAAAAAAAATTTGCAGAATTATCTTTCCTTTCCACTTTCCTATAATCCAGCATCTTTATGAGTATATGACTTATCAGCTTAAGAAAGGAAATCATGCTGAGCTCTTCCAGATGTGTCATCTTCTAGGCTAGGTTTAGTCTCAGAAATAACTTATAGGAGTTTGGAGTAGAGATTTATTTAACCAAAACTCAGTTATATCTAAGTCACCAGTAACAATATACTAGTAACAGTAACTCTTAAAACTAAAAAAAAAAAAAAAAAAAAAAAAAAAAAAAAAAAAAAAAAAAA